CGGGGGTGCCACTTTCGCTTATGCCATTCAGGATTGATGTCTGAAGAGTAATACGATACAATGAAATGACAGAAGTGACGTCAACAAAAGCTGTTAGCAACAATACCAATAGGACAAATGGAAAACTTCATCCAAAGTATAAAATAAAATAGAATATGCATACAACATGTCTGGCGGAATCACGTGGATCACGAGAATCCTGTTACAAGGCCTTAAGGGGCGGGCTCCACGGCGCCATGACAATTTCACTGAAAAACTCTAAAAATCATTGATAGAAACCGTTCTAATGGGACACCTCAACTAATCTCTTTATAAAATTTGTTTGAACAGTTGATGAAGACAATTCGAACGCGCCCTGCCTTAGTCTCACTCTAATAGATTATTATGTGCAGTATCTGTATGCTCAAGAGTACATACATGTACATGTACATGTACATGTACATGTATGTACTCTTGATATGCGACATTCAGCTAGCATACTAGCAGCAGATACAGCAACATGACTGTTGACAAGAAAAACAGCTTTGGAGCGAGAGACTCCCAGGCTAGCGGGGGTGTAGAAGAATAGCCTATACCGGTAATACTATTAGTATTATAGGGGCGTAGCAGCCGGTCCGGCTTTGGCGGAATACCAATTGCCCAGAATGCAGGATTTTGCACCCAAATTTCAAATTTCACAGGGGAGACCCCGGATCACCTCCAACGGCGGTGCTATGCGCCTGTATAAGCCTGTCCCTCCAGGAAATCGCGATTCCACAGATGCAACAAATTTCGCGATTTTGGCCCAAACCCGCGTTTTTCTGCATAATCCGCGATTTCCCGCGTTTTGTTGTTGTTTTCTGCACTTTTTCAAACATTCTTCTGTACTTTTCCCGCTGTGCTTTCCATGATCATGTTGATTTTTTTGCATAGACTAGACTCTTACTACTCCTGAGAGTGAGAGTCACCAAATACCATATTTGACGACTCCCTGGTATTTGACGACTTCCTGGAGTACATGTAGATCTACTGCCCAAAAAGCGATTCTACAGATGCAACAAATTTCGTGATTTGGCCCAAATCCGCAGTTTTCTGCAAATAATTCCGCGGATTCCTGGCAAGTTCCGCATCTTTCCGCACTTTTCGTTGTTTTCTGCCGCAATTTCTTGCGCAAGTTTTCGAAACTTTTTCCTCTAATCATCGAGTCCCGCAGGGCCAGATTAGCCGGCACTTATATATATATATATTTATTACAACATCTCAAGACTCGGTGGAAACACCGGCCAATGTTAAAGAGAGTGGGTGATTGCCAACCACTTCCACACACTGAATGAATATGACCAAGAGTACATAACCCCACTAGGGTTTATCGGGTTTTAGCGGGTTTATCGGGTGTTAGCGGCTGTCGTGAGTTCCCTTCGGGAACGGATACGATAATTTACTTTTTTTTTTTTTTACATAACCCCATTGATATGACCAAGAGCCTCTTGTACATAACACCCGGGGGGGGGGGGTAACCGTATGATGTGCCCTTGACAAAGTCTTGATATGCCGGACCTGACCAGTCTCTCACAAGCCGCACCAGTACTGCCACAATGCTGACTTGACGAGTCAGGGCCAGGGAGGGAGTAGATCTACTCCGAGTACATGTACGAGTATGATGACAAGGCGGACGACACCGGGCCGGCACTGGAAAGCCGCTCCAATAGTGGCCCGGCTGACTGCAACCAGACACTGGTTGGTAGTGACTCCGGTCTCAGCTTGTGACCATATGAACCGTATGGGGTCATGCCACGTTTGCTCCGATTCAACTTACCCGGTGGCTGAGCACAGTCAGTCTAGGGGAGGGGCGTAAGTGATTTCCCGGTTCCCTGATTAGTGACGACTGAATCGTGATACACCGCCATATAAACACACACGCCGTGACACACTTCGGCACATACCGGTGGCACAGCATGCACCATGTACAATGTACATGTATGCCTGTTATGTGGCAAGAGAAGCTCGCAAAATTGCAAATACCTATATGTACGAATATCAATAGAATTGTGCACGGTAGTACCATTCGGCTGTTTCTTTTCAAATACAACAAACTCTCCTCCTCCATGCGCTCTAAAGCCGACCATTGCTACCCTCGGTAGCCATTACTACTCACACCAATAACCTCATACAACGAAGGGGTCACGGGTAAAATATTTCCTTCTGACAGCTGTTTCGCCTATCAAAGGCTCTTTCAGAGAAGGTGGTACATGTACTGGATATTGTAATTGACATGGCAAAATTACGCGGCGAAACAGCTCGGTCACAAGGACATGTTTTACCCGTGACCCGTTCCGGCGTTGTTTGAGATTATTGATGTGAGTAATGGCTACCTAGGGTAGCAATGGTCGACTTTAGAGCGCATGGAGGAGGAGAGTCACTTTATGTATTTGACCAGATGTACATTAAAACAAAATTTAATGTTCTCTTATAGCACGATAACGTAAGGAGCAAGATCTGAATGCGGACACCGCGTATTTAGAGTCTCGGCGACCCCGATGCACACCTGACTGGTCTACACTACACGGAGTACAAATCGGAATGGGACAGCCAAGACTCTACACTTCCTGGGGGAACTTCCAGGGCAGTATACCTCATTCTGCTTTGATAGCCTAGAATAAGATACACTCCGGCAGGTACATGGACCTTGAAGTAAAATCGGACTTTTACTTTACCGGTGACTGGAACCCAGAGTCAATAGACATACCAACAAAAACAGATGCAGACTGCCAGGGACGGCGAAGCGGCTCTCCTCAGGCTGTTGAACGGCAACAGGTCCTGGAACCACGATGACGATTGGAGCTTTGAGACACACAGGCGGCTTTGCAATGCAACCTTGACGTTACTGTGATTTCTGTTTGCTTGTCATTTGTACAGGCCAAGATGAACTCAGTTGCTAAGTCAGTCTTCCGTCATCCTGGATCTCATCCCAGGTAACCTAGGATAAGCCAGGATGAAAACTGATAAATTTTAAATACTACTTGCACTGGAAGTCACCGCTAAGTCTTTGTCTTATAACTAGGTCTGCTTTTCGTAAGATTTTAGTTAGAACAGCATTGCTAACAGGACAACATAGTACACAATCATAGTACCTTCTCACAGCTACATTGCAGAGCTGCGTGACTCTGACTTAAACTTTGTGCTTTGAATCGATTTCTCGGTCGTTGTTCACTAGGCTTCATTATGCCGGCCAGTCACTCTCAGCTACTACTACACTAACTTGACTAAGTACAGTAGATACTGGTTATAACGTGCCCTTCTGATTTTTCACATTTTATCACTATAACCGGTATATCACTACAGGCGATTTTCAACTGCTCGCGTCATACATACACATTATACACGTGTGGGTACTCGATCGCGCTAATGTAGCGTACTGATACGTGATGGATGCTACTGCACCTTCTCCAGTCTAGAGTGAAGAACTTCTTGGCCCAAAGGCATCATCCAGGAAGCACCAGACCAGAATACCCTATGACAACACACATGTGGCTCCAAATCGAGACATCAATGCCTCACACTCGTGTGTTGCTATCACTATAGACGATAATTTTTCTGCACAAAGAGGTGTTTTGAATGGTGATTCTGTATCCTTATAGCCGATTTATCGCTATATACGATATATTGGTTATAATGATAATTTGACTGGCTTTTTCTGGTTTTGCTTTTGATATTTTCATTTTGTATCAATATAGCCGGTTTATCACTATGTCCGATGACTTTATAACCGATATCCACTGTACACTGACTGGATGAGACCTGAGCCGAATATCTGGCCACCTAGTACCTACATGTATATGTAGCTGGCTGAAGATTGAGTTACATTGTTTGTAAAAGTAATGCGAAGAATACTGCACAGACTTTACACTGCAGATTATGACCAAGTAAGTTCCAGCCATACACGGCAGTCTATGCCGAAGTAACTCAGTTCACCATTCTGCTGGAGTCCTGTTTTACGGTCGATCTGTGGTGATACAGTCGCTTTGCATGCCAGGGATTGTCACAGACTGAGAGTTACAACTTACAAACCACCTACTTGACAGCTAGCTGTCCATGTACAACACAATGACATTGTCATTTTTTTAAACAGGTTTCACTGTAGTTGTATCTATCCCGCTATTAATAAAGTGAATAAAAAATCTCTCTCTACTGCTAGCATGCTACACTACATAGTCAGCCTCAGTGAACGAAGGGTAGCATGCGCTGCATGTGTGCACTGACCCTGACCGTCTGTATACATGTACATCATGTACAGACCACGACTCACGAGTCACGAAGGAATCAATGGCATTACGGTATGTCTGATCTGATGAGTCATGACTGACATGATGTAGATCATATAGAGTGGTCGGAAAGTCAGTGTAACTGTAAACAGATACTACTCTACAGTCCATTCACTAAACCGTATACGTGTGCACTGTTATTACATGCTCCCATCATACGACTGTGTACAAATACAAGGCAATTTTTTCTGAGTGAATGCACGCTTGCTTGCTGCTCCTTAAAAAAAAACCAGATCAAAATCTGTCCAAATTTGAGAGAGAAAATGGAAAATTGATTTTTTTAGCTCGCTTTGCTGGCTGATTTCCGTGCATTTTCTTACGCCGCTGCTTCGTCTTTGAAGAAGTCATGCACTTATTGATCATCTCAACTTCTGGACCCGTCAAGTAACTAATTTGCTACAGCAACAACCACTTCTGACTGCAGTGCACTCCAGATCCAAGCAAATCATGCAAATCACCCCACGTGGGCTTTGACAGCTTTCCCGCGGGATCGCTCATGGGTCACGTGACAAGTGCATCCACGTGGGGTATTCCCCTGTCAGGCTGGCGCTGGCATCCGGCTTGTGTGCTGACTTGAAGCAGCATGGGGCATACACAATGTCAATGGCCCTTTGACTGAATCATCAGTGAAAAGAGTGCACACGTACACGTATTGCCACTACTATTGCCGTATTGGCCCTTTGTCAGGCTTTGACTGGAAAAGAGTGCACAGTTATGGAATGGACTGTAGTAGATCAACTGTTACTAAAGCATCCAAACCAGATACCCGCCCATTTGTGAATACAGCTAATGTTCCTGTAGGAATAATGTCTCCACCTACCCGATCGGTAAAGAGTTCGTCACATTGACATCGCCAGCGTCAGCAAGACGAGTCTCCTAGCGTCTGTTGAATTGAATACCTATCTCCTCAACGACAATGGGGGATGTGAGGCCACAGCCTGCAGGCAATCCCATTGCCACTGGCGCTAGTGTTGAAGGTGAAAAGGATGAGAACAAGTTTTTGCTAGCTGGTCAAGCTAAACCTAGCGATGCCGGGAGCGTGTCCCTCGCACCGATGGAGGAAGTACGAAAGAGTAATTGGAAATGTACGTAAATCGACAATATGGGAATAAAATTATAAACGGTACCACCGTCATTTTGAGGTTCATTTATAGTCCTAATCATCTTGTGTGTTCGAGAGTACATTCCAGTATGCAGATTTTTTTACTTTTTTACTTTCTAGCCCTTGGGCACAGCAGCTTGGCGGTCTAACTCAAATCAATCTGCAGCAGACGACATCACTTTCAAGTTTGCAGATTTTGTGCTCTAGGAAAGCAGTTGTTGAAGTACAATACTACATGTACATGACTTGTTTGTGACTAGGCAGCAGTGGAACATGGGAAAATGGGTCAACTGTTTGTTTCCCCTTCTTCCCCCCCCCCCCCCCTCCCCACACACACTTTTCCTGGTTATAACCCTGTTCTCTGACTTTGCTTTTGTTATGGTTGTGATTGCAGATAAAAGCAAGAAGCAGCAAGCAAGGACAGTTGCAGCTCTCCTCGGCAAGCTTCTAGTTCTGATCACGGCGTTGTACTTCTTCATATGCTCGCTGGGCATTCTGTCCGATGCGTTCCAATTGGTTGGCGGGCGTGAGGCGGGAGACGCACTTGGCGAAAGTTCGCTGTTTGTCAACCCGCTAGCCGGCCTCATGATTGGGGTCATCGCGACAGTGCTCTTGCAGAGCTCATCGACAACTACTTCCATCATTGTCGCTCTGACTGCATCAGGAGTTAGTAAGTAACACTGTTGAACATCTACATACATGTACATACATAATTATTATAATTATGCTCCCTAGCGTCAGCAATGTCGTTAGGTTGAGCACTCTTACCTTAGCGTGAACCCTTGCCACTCGCCTTGTGCAACGCTCACTGCTCTTGGTGCATTTCGAGCACTCTTGGCTGGGTTTGCAGCTCTTTATAAAAATGCTTTGCTTCACGGAAACGTATTTCATTGCGAAGAGCTGCGCTTCGGTCCTCTGAGCTGTGCTGATGAGCTCTAACAGAGCGAAACAGTTGCTGTCCACAGATTTGAGTAATTATTATAATTATGGGATTGAGATTGAGTACATAAGCTGTGTACATACTCAATCCGCGGACAGAACTGTTTCGTCCTTTGCGGACTCATCAGCACAGCACAGAGAAAATGAGGCCGAGCCTGATAGCAATGAAAAATATATATTTTCCAGAGCCAGATTTAAACCAGGCCCGAACGTAAGCTGTGTACATATAAATAAGCTTTGCTGAGGTTAGCTTGCATTGAACCAGCAAAGTTATCAATCGAACTAGTCTGCTGCGGCATGTATTAGAACTTGGCTCTACATGGCGTGTTTTGTTTTAATTGGTTATTGCTGCTGACTTGTTACTGTGGCTCAGTATGATAGTGTGTGCTGACTTGTTACTGTGGCTCAGTATGATAGTGTGTGGCAAGTAATTGTACCCTGTTCAGTTCTGTTGTCCACGCATGAACACTGGTGAATCCCCAATGACGAAACTTTGGAGAGATATTCACGCTGATTGCCGGCAGTGTAAGACCGAAGTGGCGAAGAAGGAGATTGAGACATGGTGAATGCTGGTGTTTTCTTTTTGTCGTTCCAGTACAGAAAGTTGAATACTCCATACCGATCGTGATGGGTGCTAACATCGGTACGTCGGTTACCAACACCATAGTGTCGATTGGCCAGATTGGCGACCGCGAGCAATTCAAGCGTGCGTTTGCCGGCGCCACCGTACACGATATGTTCAACTTCCTCTCTGTCTTGGTTCTGTTGCCTGTGGAAGCTGTCAGTCACTATTTGTTCTATCTGACTGAAGCCATAGTGAACACAATGTCCTTGACTGAAGAAGCTGACAATCAGGAGTTTCTCAGTGTGCTGACTGACCCATTCATTGAGCTCTTTGTCCAGCTCAACCGGTCAGCCATTATTGAGAATGCCAGAGGCAATCACACAGAGGAAATTCACCTGCTCAAGCAACACTGTGGCATTCTGCAGGAGGGCAACTGCACTGTCAACGAAACAGTCGCTGAAGGCTGCGTGGAAAATATTGTCCAGAAGTGCGACTACGCCTTCTTCAATTCTTCGTTATCGGAGCGAGCTATCGGTGTGATTATGTTGCTGATAGCACTATTCATGCTCATCACGGCACTGCTGGTTATGGTCAAGGCGCTCAGATCCGTGCTGGGCGTACAGCTGGAGGGTGTCGTCAAGAAAGCTGCCAATGGCAACCTGCCGGGTAAGGCCAGGTACCTGACGCCATACCTGGCCATACTGATCGGTGCTGGTGTCACCATGCTTGTGCAGTCCAGCTCTGTGTTCACATCCACACTCACTCCTCTCGTAGGCATTGGTATTCTCGACCTGGAGAGGATGCTGCCGCTCACCGTGGGCTCCAACATCGGCACAACGTTCACTGGCATTCTAGCAGCACTGGCCCTCAAAGGTGAAGCGGAGGACCGCCGACACGGCTTCCAGGCAAGTTCTTAGGCGCACATTGTAGTGCACAGCAGTAGTGAGGATGAATTGGCTTGGATCGGTTTTGCCACTTTGGCTTTTCTGGTGCCTGTTTGCTATTGTACTTAAAACTTTCGCACTGAAATTGGGAATGATTATTCCGATCTGGTAGGTGCTTGTACCGAACATGATTATGCTCGGCTAATATACAGCTGCGTCAGGTGAAATCTGCCTCAATGTTCATAGATGGTCTCTTGAACTAGTAGCCTGTAGTTGTACATGTCGATAATATACCATGATCTGCCCTACTAACCTACCCAGTACTACCCTGTACACATCTATGGGACCTTGTGCACTGTGACGTAGACTAGAGCTGGAACAAAACATGCTACGTACCCAACAGCATTCCATCCCACATTCATACAACTACCAGAGTGCCAGGAGCAGTGGCGGATCCAGAGATCTCTACAGGGGGAGGGGGGTCCAGTATAGTCAAAACTGAATAGCTGATACATGTATATGGTTGCCAGTAGCACATTTATGAAATTTAGGGGGTTCCGCGGAACCCCTGCCGGAACCCCTCCTGGATTCGCCCCTGAGGAGCATTGCACTTCTGGGTTTCTGAGTATGCACGTTGGCTCGGATTTCACCGAGGGCAACTCTATGAGTACATGCCAAGAACCTATCTTTACATCTCTCACTGACATTCTTCTTACTCTGTGGCATCATATATGTTGCTGTCTGTATTCTTGCAGGTAGCATTTGCACATTTGTTCTTCAACATTTCTGGTTTGCTTGTCTGGTATCCGATTCCGGCCATGCGAAATGTCGTGCTGGGCTGTGCGCGCTTCATGGGTGAGACCACAGCCAAGTACCGCTGGTTCGCTATACTATACCTCATCTTGGCCTTCCTGCTCATTCCAGGACTGGTATTCGGCTTATCGCTGGGTGGCTGGCAGGTCATGGTGGGTGTTCTGGCGCCTGTATTCTTTGTTTTCTTCCTCGTCTGGCTGCTTAACATGCTGCAAAAGCACCGGCGAAGTTACCTGCCCGTTCGCCTCCAGACGTGGGATTTCCTGCCTCTATGGCTGACGAGCTTACAGCCATATGACGCCGTCATCTCGAAGGTTCTAGGTGCGCTCAGGCGGCGGAAGAAGTCGTACACAGCTGCTCATGATGACGAGGGCACTGAGGACCATCCCATTCCCTGAGCTTACACCAACCGCTTGGGTCGTCCTAACACTGCTGATCACAACAAGGACAACACCACTGCCTGAGCCGCTTACACTGATCTCCTGGGCCATCCTATCACTGCAAAGCAAGTCCTAGGTGACATAGGTAAGCCGGGCGAACACAAATTTGGGTATCTGACTATCTGTGTGCTAAGTCAACACATTCGCCTAGGTGATGTCGAGCCATAGTGGCATTGGAGTAGAGAAACGCCTACACTCTTGTATCACTCACACCGATAGAGCTCGAATGGGTGCCCTTGAACCTAGAGTTCCTGGACTGTGCACTGCATGCCGGTGACTGCAATATAATATGGAGCTGCTTTGAGCTGAACGAGTCTCTCAGTCTCAGCCCTTGAACTAGCTCCTTCACGACCCTGCTCGGTAGCACCCAGTCCGGGACACCATTGGACCATTTCTTCTTTAAACGCCCATCGCTGGAGGCGATGATAGCGATGCTACAGCAGAAGCCATAGCAGCTTGTGCTGGGATTGCACCATTTAACAGCTTGCAAGGCTGAAGAATTGACCGCCACTATTCAAGTCGCAGCAGCTCTTCCGGGACACACACACACACACACACACACACACACACACACACACACACACACACACACACACACACACACACACACACACTAGAGGTGCAGCAAAATATACCTTGAACTGCTTGATCATTCGCCCGGGCATTCTCACTGAAGAACATTCCACATTGATTGGGAGCTGCCATTCAGCATAGAAGCTGCGGGTCAAGAGCTGCTGCGACTGTATCGGTTTGAGTTGGCATGGCACTGTAGCAGTCTCATTTCAGCTTGTCCAGTCTCCTTATCGCAGTACCATCTGAATCTAGAAGCAAAATCTGAAAAGCAGTGCCTCGCCGCTTATACAGGTTATAGCATTATTGTAGTATCTTCTTGCCTATTATTTACGATTACATGCACAGATCAGTACTTACCACGCAAACCATCACCAACCACTTACTGCACTTGCAATGCTGCATGATGTAGGAGCTTGTTTTACCATTCGCTGTTATTCGCGGTAAATTGAATATTGCTCGAGGTTCGCTTCGCATGGAACTCGGAGTTGCAGCTACGAAATTGTTTGACTTCTGCGTTATTCAAGTATTTACGATTATTATAAAATGATTACAGTGTTTTACAGGATTTTCTGATTTTTGATATTTATTTTATTTACATTTACTTGTTTGTTTGTTTATTTTATTTTACTTCACCAAGTGAACAGGCATTTCTGCCTTCTCACCAGGTCCGGAGACCTAGTTCCGACAACATGATGAAGGGTGAATGAAAATGTATGCATAAAATGATTAAAATCATGCAGGTTATAATTATGAACGCGGATAAAAATGATTGAATCACGAGACATGGAGCATGAATTTATGGAGTATGGACACAGAGCATGTAAAAAAATTATGAAAAAAAAGATGTGTAAGATGATTAATGATGAAAAATCAAGCTTGGGTCGTGCTTGCCGGGGTCGTAGATATAATAATTATGACAGAGAGAACACACGAAGAAAGGGAGAAAATGAGTGAGAGGGAGAGAGAGAGAGAGAGAGAGAGAGAGAGAGAGAGAGAGAGAGAGAGAGAGAGAGAGAGAGAGAGAGAGAGAGAGAGAGAGAGAGAGAGAGAGAGAGAGAGAGAGAGAGAGAGAGAGAGAGAGAGAGAGAGAGAGAGAGAGAGAGAGAGAGAGAGAGAGAATGAGAATGAGAAAGAGAGATAGAGAGATAGAGAGATAGAGAGATAGGTAGATAGATAGAGAGAATGAGTGAGTGAGTGAGTGAGTGAGAGAGAGAGAGAGTGTGGGAGAGAGGGGGGGGGGGAGTGTGTGAGAGAGAGGGGGGAGAGAGAGAGATCGAGAAAGAAATCGATCAGTATGTGAGAGTAGCTGATCGAGTTATTGCTCCGCTGCAATCGCCTCTAGATCTAATACACGTGTGAGAGCCTGGAAAGTCCGCTTTTCACCCTCAGTTCTGACGCTAACGGGAAGAGCATTCCACCGGACACTGCGAACCGGATGTAACGTCTCCAGAAGGGACCGCAGAGAAAATGCACACGTAGCAGATTGGCCTGCTGCCCTCGAGTTGCCCGGATGTTGCTGGGGGCGCCAACTGGAGCGATGCGTGTGAACATCTCCTGAAGCAGGGGGCTGGCTCTGTGGCGGTGGCACCGATGAACTAGGACCAGAAGCTTTTGATTTAGCAGTTGCACTTCAAGTATATTCTGGCAATCTGACCGCTAGTTTCAGTTTCCCTTGCCACTTTTATGCTGCAGTTCAATCAGGCTGGTCCTGCTGTAAGATTGCAAAAACAGATCCATTGTCCGGGCTGCATTTGAGTCTGTCCATACCAGGATTTGTTGTTAAAACTTAAAAGCGAGGAAGTAATGATTATGGCGACAGTACGCAGGACTCTCCTGATGATTGCATAGTGTAAGAAACTCGGAACAGAGACGAATTCCACTGGACCTTGTGTGCGTGTGGTGCCGGACAAATGCCACGGCTACGAATGTATGCAATTGGGGTATCAGCTGATTCAGCTCAGGAACAGGTACATGACTTCTTACTGGTCACATATTGGCAAACCATTCAGCACGTGCGAATTTGTGGGCAGCTTGTCGTCGCTGACAATGGCGCACAAGTGCATCTATAATAATACTACCGGTACTACTGAAAACATAATACAACTGACTGTTTGCATGTGATACCATGATGCCACAGTAGATCTGCAGTACAGGTGCCAGTGTACCGTACGCAGGGTTCTAGCCAGGTCAAAATAGTAGGGGGGGGGGGGGGGCATGAGAAACAGTTACCCCGTATCCCATTTTTCCACTTTCCCAATATTGTCTTGCCACGCTAAATGCAACGTATGGGGCGGATCCCCGACTTCGCCCCAGACAAAATAATGTGCCCTTATGAACCATCTAATAGTGACTTTCGACTGCATTTCCTTGAATTGCATGAAAAACACGAAAATCCAAAAATGATTTGGGGTGGCACTGTGACTTTTTCACAGGGGGGGGGGGGGGGGCGAAACGGCAGAGTAGGGGGCGCTGCACCCCCCCCCCCCTTGGCTAGAACCCTGCGTACGTGTGCACGTCACATGACATGGATGGAGTATACTTTTTTTAGGATGCTCACAACACGAATCACGTGAAACCGGGAAGTAAGAACCAAAGCAAAAAGACAACCCAAATTCGGAAATAAATAGAACACTCAATTGAAATGTAAGTTATAATTATGGACATGGTGCAATCGGGAATATTGGAACACAGTAGGGAAGATGCGATAAGGCACTTTTAAAACACTGTTACATGCACAGTCGTGTACTATATGTTTGGTGCATGGTGATGATGGCCTCATGATCATGGGTCGGAACCTTTGGAAGAGTTGACTCTACAATACATTTGTACACACAAAAACGGGCACAACAGAGGTTTACAGATTTGTCGCAACTCAGAGTTTCTTGCTTACTGTCGACTGTCGCAACTCAGAGTTTCTTGCTTGTTTCTTGCTTACTGTCGACTGTCGCGAGTCTGTAAACCTCCGTTGTGCTATTTTGTGTGTAATAGTGCTCCACATTGTTGTGTTGAGCCCTCTCCGATGGCAGAAGGAAGTTTTCCTCCTTGCAATACATTTGTACACATAGCTGTACCTACAAATGTCACTTCTCTGCGGTTGACGTCACAGTATAAGAATTAGCAGAGAAGTAGTGTTCTCTGTCCACCCGGGAACGAGTACGAGGGAACACAGTGTGGGATAAAAAGAGGTGACGAGTGCAGGGTCGGCCTCTTTTGTCTTTGTGCGGAGAGTTGAGTGAGAGTGCCCACCCACCCCAGTAATCATCATGTAATTTCATATATCATCGCTTTGATTATTCTAGTGATTTGGTTATTCTAGAGTGTGGGGATGCATAATGGTCGGGCATGGTTTTCTGGTTGTACGTAGCTGGAGTTTTTGTTAGACTAGGCAATGGTTCTGTATAGTCATGACCACGGAATTGTGTGCAAAGACAATAAGTTGGGGCGCTGTGCAGTGTGCTGTGGTGGCCCCCACTGGCAATGTTCACGTGTTCAGTAGTGGTGTACACGTATGAGTGAGTGTGCGGATGTGTGCGCAACGAGTGAGTGCAGGGTGGACAGAGAAGTAATAATTATAATACTACCAAGAGTCCATAACCCCGGGGTTATGGACTCTTGATATTACCAAGAGTATAATTATAACCCCCCACTCTTGATATTACCTACTGTATACAATAGATCTGCAATGTACAAACATAATACATAAGGCACACCGGGATTTCTAGAACCTACGTGACCCGATCCTTGGCTTGACATTGAATGATGATCCCAACAACGGTACTAATACTAGTAAAGTAGTAGTACTAGTAAGCTCGGGCCGGAATGTCCCTGAGTGACCCATGAGCATGACGTGTTATTGCCAAATGCCAAGTAACAAGACAGAGTGCCAGAGTGGGTACTGACTACTGCACTGAGTCATGCATGGGTCTCAGTCACAGTCACACACGTATCATTGCATTCATTGGCATTCATTGCACCATGGCATGATAAAGACAATGATATTGATAATACACTATTACAGATGGAGCGGACTCGCTCCCTTCTATTTACACTGCAACGTTCGAACACATTTTCGTAGTTAAAACAACGTTTCGGCATATAGCCCTCATCAGGTTTGCAATGATGTGCACTCTACAAAGGAGCAGCAAATATACTGTGCTGTGGTGTGTTTGCGCCAAATGTGTCAGCTACAAAGGTGGCGAAAGGGATTGGTGATATATTAATATCCAGATACGATATATTCACAGTAGTGCCCAGCCAGCATTAGTGTTTACTTGCGGCCGCAAGTTGCGGATTTCAACAGCTTCTCGCAGTTTTCTGCTTGCTCTGTCGCCTGCCCTTGCCAGGACTGACACAGCCGAGAACACACTATCCGCAGCAGCTATACTCTCGCCAGAATGTTTGTCGCGCACGTGGTCACCCCATGGCTTATCGAGAGTGCGACGGCGTGCTTCGCCATTGTGCTCCCGAATTCTTGTTTCCAAGGAGCGTTCCGTCTCCCCCGATACATCGACGATATCATCATCCTATGGACACATGGTAGGCAGCGCCTTCTGGAGCTCATAGAAAGATTCAACGCCAGCCACGAACGTATCAAATTCACGCATGAATTAAGTTGTGACAGTGGCTGCATAGACTACATGGACGTAACGATCGCAGTTGGGCAAACCGGAGAGCTGTCATTCAAATTGTTCCAGAAGGCATGCAGTAGTGGCCTACTGGTGGATTATTCATCGGCAGTTCCTCACCACATCAAGTTAGCCGTCGCTCAATCTCAATTCCTAAGGGCACAGCGACTATCGTCTAACCCCATGATGCAAGCCGAGAGCGAACAAAAAATACACAAACAACTGCGCATAAATAACTACCCAGCCAGTATCATATCGGAAGCAAGGGAAGCTGCCAGGAAACCTCGGCGTAGACGACGCGGTAATCCTCGCTCTGCCTTCCTTAAACTACCGTTCAAGTCCGATGAAGTACACCACCATGTGAACAAAGCAATACGGAAATACAAGTTGCCGGTACGTGTCGTATACGAGCACTCGGGCAGCCTCAGGCGTCAACTGTGCCGTTCGGCGCTGTTACCACCCAAGTGCGTAAACGAGCCCAACATTACTGAAAAAAGACGAAGAGGGCGTCCACTAGGGCCTTGCATTACCTGTCAGTCTGGAGGCGAACGAGTATGTATGACAAAGAATGTAGTCTACGAATTGCAATGCAAATGGTGCCGGGAAACGTATGTTGGGGAGACGGAACGCTCCTTGGAAACAAGAATTCGGGAGCACAATGGCGAGGCACGCCGTCGCACTCTCGATAAGCCATGGGGTGACCACGTGCGCGACAAACATTCTGGCGAGAGTATAGCTGCTGCGGATAGTGTGTTCTCGGCTGTGTCAGTCCTGGCAAGGGCAGGCGACAGAGCAAGCAGAAAACTGCGAGAAGCTGTTGAAATCCGCAACTTGCGGCCGCAAGTAAACACTAATGCTGGCTGGGCACTACTGTGAATATATCGTATCTGGATATTAATATATCACCAATCCCTTTCGCCACCTTTGTAGCTGACACATTTGGCGCAAACACACCACAGCACAGTATATTTGCTGCTCCTTTGTAGAGTGCACATCATTGCAAACCTGATGAGGGCTATATGCCGAAACGTTGTTTTAACTACGAAAATGTGTTCGAACGTTG